CGCTCGAGATTCCGGTCCCGGAGCGCTCGGGCACACCTGCCGGGGCTCCGATACGAGGCTGCCGCGCGCTGGGGTCCGCCGGCGGGGACGCAAAGGGATGCAGTGACGTGGTGCTGGACTCGGCGCTCGCCGGCCGCCTCTGGGCTCCTGTCCGGAGGCGGGGACTGCCTGATGGAGGGAGCGGATTCCTTTGGCTCGGCCCCTTCTTCCTCCTCCCACCCCTTTTGTTTGTGTCATCTGCGGGCCGGGGCGCGCAGTCCGGCTCTCCTGGTCCTGGGTAGTTTCCGAGCTGAGAGCACTATGGGAAGTAGGGGGAGGGCGCCACTCGGGTGGTAGAGTTGGAGTTAGCAGCCTCAGCGTTGGGAACGGGATGTAGTCGTTACTTGCACTCGGTTTCTGACTCCTGGTAGCCAGTGAGCTCATTCATTCATTTATTTTATTCACTTCCATCAATCATTCACTTGTACATCTAGCAGATATTTGCGGCGGGTCGTAACACACAGTGTTAAGAAGATACTGTGTAGACCCTAGCGCGATGTCTTTTTTGTCCTTAATCTTAGGGAATTCCCAGCACGAAGTATGTTAGCTGCATCTCAACTCTGGGTTAATGGTTCATTGACTACAGGGCCTAAATTCATTTCATCAATAAGCCTAGAGAAGAGTTCTTTATTAAATAATTTCCATTAACCCAACTCATGTGCTAGGAGCTTTACATATTTTATCTCTTGTATAATGCTTAAGTGAGGAAATCCATAGAAGTCGAGTAACTTGTTAGATTTCTAACTTTCTGTCTCTCTGTCTCTGTCTTTCTGGCAAGCACACGCACCCTATAGCCCTATAGCATAAACCCCACCAAAAGAAAAAAAAAAAAAAAAGAAAGAGCTTTACGGGTACTGATAACAAACTGGTAACAGTACTGATAACAAACAGTATTACCTCTATTTTACTGATGTGTAAAACTTAGACTCTACCCAGGATTACACAACCAGTAAATTGAAAATGTAAATTTATAACCTAGAGGTGTCTGATTCTAAAGCCTGTGCAGGTCTCACTGCCATACTGGAATAGCGAAGTCTGTAATAGTTATTTAAGTCTTCATTTGTCAGAAGTTGGGAAGTATGACTGTGAAAAAGGATTGAGAGTTATCTTACTGGTTTTACTTTCTAGCCTGTGGCTGCATCTCCAGGTAAGTGGTCTTTTGAATGTACTTTGATATTTTGTTGGTGTTTTTCTTAGGAAGAACAAGCTCTTTGGGGCTACCAAACTGAAGCAGCAATGCCTGTTGTGTGGCCAACCCTTTTGGATCTTAGCAGGGATGAATGCAAAAGGATTCTTCGAAAATTGGGTATGCTTTTCATTTTTGGTCTTTTATATCTCTTTTTGATACTTTTCCCTTTTTGTTTGGGTCATGACTGTTTGAATGCTTCATTAGAAATTCTTTGGAAGTGTAGTCCCCATCTTGCTCATTTCCTCAGTGAAGAGCATAGTGCTTTGTATGTCACAGGTGTATGAGTAATAGTACTAGTTGTAGTAGCTAAGAGTAATTGAGGGTTCCTTGGCTATTCTGAATCTTTTACATTCAACATTATTTTTTAAAAAAATATTTATTATTATTATTTTAAAATTTGCTTTAGGGCACATGTGCTCATCAGAGAGAGACAGGGGCTGGGGAGTGAGAAAACAAGCTGCCAGGCCCAGGACTTGAATCAGGTCAGCCTTGTGAGAGTCTCGCACCTTTACTGCCACACCACCTGCTGGTGCCTACATTCAACATCATTTAAACTTAAACCTAATGGGCACTTTTTTTTTTTTTTTTTTTTTGTGGTCCTATTTTACAATTGAATCTTAGAACCACAGGTAGTGCTGATAGGTATTTGAAGTATTTGAACCCAAGGAATATGATTTCAGTCTCACTTTAGCATACTCATGAATATATGTGTGAATTAAATACTAGTTCTGAATTCTTAGTTAATATAACCTATTCTCACTTTCCCAAGTTATATTTTACTGTAAGTATTAAAACACACTGCATACTTATATTATTTAGTACTTTTTTTTCCTATCTAGCACTTAGGGAGAAAGGTAAGCTCTAATGCTAAGACATCCATTGTATGTAATGAACTACTCTTCCATCTAGAATGGTATTAGTTATATACCATCCTTGGGGAAAAGAGTTACTCAAGTTATTTTCTATGTTCTGTGGTTCAAAGGATCCATGGTTGAGAAATGCTTCTTTAAACTGTAAGGACCTTGTTGTCTTACCGTAATAGTCTCAGGCTACTATGAAATGAAAAAATAATTTGAAAAACAATATTGAATGTTTTGGCAGTGGATATGAAATTTTTAAAATAATTATTTTATTTATTTATTCTTTTTTTTTAAATTTGACCAGAGGGAGACAGAGAGAGAAAGTGAGAAAGTGAGCCACCAGATCCAGGACTCGAACCGAAGTCAGCCATGTGGGAGTGTCCAGCACCTTAACCACCATGCCACCTGCTGATCCCCTGGATATGAATTATTTGGATAGTTGTGATTTTGAAGAATAAAGTGTGGGTCTTGAAGTCAGGCAGACCTGGGCTCTTGGCACTCTTACTGATGATAAAGTGACAGAGAACAAATTTTTTAATCTCCCTTAATCTGTTGATACTTTTATAAAAGAAGTATAGTATCTACCTTATTAATCTGTTATGTATATTAACTGTATACATAAAGGGCCTGTCACAGTGTCTGACATCTCAGTATTTAGTCGCTTTCAGACATTTATTTGTTTATATACAGCTAAATATTTTCTTCAAAGGAAATCTTTGTTGGAATTCTTATGTGTAAATCAGATAGAATTATAGATGCTCAGATCCTGCCTAACAACTTTTGACTTTTTATTGCCTCTCAGGAAATACGAGATTTTTAAACCATTTCAGGACCAGCAGTTGGTGTAATGGCTATGTCGCTGGACTCCCATGTAGTCGACTGTGGTTTGAATCCTGGACCCAGTGGCTTAAATTCACACCAGGCATGTGTGCGTGCATGCCCAAGATCCCAAGAGGAGAATGGAGGAGAAGGGATTATGGCGTGGCCCTCCCCCCCCCCCC